CTATCGATTTTTATTGAATTGTGTTTTCTCTATATTCTTTTGAGATTCATCAACTCTTGTTTTTTATATAAACATGAAGATATAATATGAATATGCATTTATTATATGCCAATAGATATGAGAATAAAAATAGTAAAATAATTCTTAAAATATGCAGCAGATAAAAGAGCATTAATTGCATTACTATGCTTGGGCTAAAATATTTGAATTTATAAATTGTTAAAGGAAAGTATTCTAAATTTTCGTATTCAATTTTAATTTATGAAGGAAAGAGTTCTGTCTAATCAATGAAGTAATGTTAGAATATAAAAAAAAATCGTACCCTACAAAGGTTGTTAGTTAAGAAAAATGGTTAATATTTTAAGAAAAGATTTTAATTTTTCTTTGTTATACTCTAATAGAGACAGTTTAAATAATTTTATTTTCAAAGAACGTCTCCAGAAAATAAATCAATATCCGCAGTTCATTTTATGAAATACAAAGTTAACAGTTTCTCGCAATATTATGTAGTTCTGAATAAAATCATAACAAAAACAAATAAAAAATTTAAATAATTTTCCAATCCTTTTTCTTGCATTAGATTTCTTTTCTAATGCTTAGAAAGTATGGAATGGAAAAAATAAATAAATAAATTTTTGTATGAACTTTTTCTTTACTCTATTTATGGTTTTTCTACGAATAATATTTTACTCCTTTTTATTACAATTATGCATATAGAAATTATCTTTCTATATATAAATATAAAATGTAATTTATTATTTTATTTACTTATTTTACTATAAAAATGTTCAAGATTATAAAATGGATTGGGAAAATAATGGAACAGGTGTGTCCGTTTTCAAAGTATAACATATTAGAAAGGCTTATGTTATAATAGTTGAGTAATTAAAAAGTCCAACATAGTATACGTATAATATACACATGTGTATATCATTATGTGTACGTACATACATATAATATTTAAAGTATATGCAATTAGTTAAATATTGTAGCGCTTGTAAATATTATTTTTGTTAAAGTAAAATTTAAACAGAATTATCTGCAAGTATGTATACCATATAATTCCAAAAAAATAATATGTTCTACATATTTTATATATACATAATGAAAAATTTTATGAACTTATATAAAATTAATTTATTCTGAATTAGACATGTTTTCCTGTAAATAGGAAAAGATGTATAATAAAAATGTTTTTCATTACAATATTGTATAACATTATAGGAGAGCATCTGCTCATGCATAATAATATAAAATCAAACATGTTTATTGTTTTGTTCGATAATTTTTCTCTAATTTTTAATATTGATAAGTATTGTATCAAAAATTTTAAAATTTTAGAAGTAAAAAAAAACAGATTTCATAAAAAGTAAACTAAGAAAATGTGCTTAATAATTGGTGTTTGTCACCATTATCTATTTTGCATGAAGATTCTGGTATATAAGAATGAAATTTAATTTAATGTTTTACCTACAGATTTATTTGATTTGAGCCATAGTTTTCCAGATAAAGCTCTTCAAAGTCAGAATTTTTTTTTAAAAGACTCGAAATTTCTCTATAATTTTTATATTTTTTTTTGTTTTATTTATTTCGATGCGGTACGACGAAGCCCATATAACATTTTCCTGTATCTCTCATAGTTTTCCCAGAAAAAGGTGTTAAATGCATTTAAAAACATTTTTCATGTAAACAACATCCACAAATATTTTTTTTTAGTTTAGTATGTATAATTTGGAATTTGTCATATTTTTGCTGGAAATTGATCATAGAATCATCCCTGAAATTATTTTCGACCTTATGCGAAACAGCCTGTATTATTATTTCAGTAGAAATAATAATATTTGACATAATACTTTTGCATTTACAAAACAAATTTTAAATCTTTAATATTGAAAATATGTATATTTCCGTTAAGAACCCCGTTCCATTATCATACAATTCTTGGCTACTCTATGACGTAGATTAGGGATCTATATTTCGTTGTATGGAATGCACCGCGTAATTAATTTTTACAATTGATTGATGCTGTTTTCAACAATTTGTATTTTGTTTGATAATACATTATGTATTTATAATATGCAAGTTATATAACCTTGCCATTATTTTAAATGGTATAATTAAAAATAGCTTAAAAATAGAAATTTCCAATTGATGTAAATAAAAATTTCAAATTTCGTATAATTTACGTATAAATTCTAAATTACTTTTAATTGGGCAATAATTGTGTCTTGCAAAAAACGCATTCCATAATTAATATACTTTCTATTAAAAAACATAACAATAACTTCTACTCTTGATTTCATCATAAGAACAATTAAAATCGAGTTTTTTAATTGTAATTTATTAATTCATAAAAAACTAATAATGCACACTATAAGTATTCCTTAAACAAAAATATATTATCACTATTAATAGAAGGAAAAATTTTCATACAAGAAAAAACGGAAAAAAAAAATTAAAGTTGATTAATAATAATTTTCAAATACTTAATTATATGGGTAAAATGCACTATCAACGAATGATCTTCATTCTCATAATGATCTAAATATTCTCAAACTGAACTTGAATCCTACAGAACAATAATAAAATTTAGCGACAATATTATTTTTTGATTTGTTTCTATTTTTCAATTTAATGACGTGCTCTAATACTCCCTGATCATTCATTCAAAATCATAGTTGTTTTTTCACCAACGATAAAAGTGTGCATATATGCATTAGTTTAAAGCATTAATTAAACCTTTTCAAATTTCAAAAAAAAAAAAAAAGAAAGAAAAAAAAAATTGTTGTTTTTTCTATTTTTTACCTTTTTTATGATTCCTTAATCAAAATAGAAAAACAAACCCAATACCTTACCATTTAATGATGCTAAATAACTCAATTTTCGTTATCCTTTTAAATAAAGTTCAATCATATACGAAATATCCTTATGTTTTTTTTATGTAATTTCCTGAACGTAATATCAAATCGGATGTAAATCTATTGCCGTAAGCTCATATTCAAATTAAATTCGTTCAACGTCAAACGGTAAAATCAAACAAAAACATTGCTTACTAAATTTTTTTCTAAACTTTTTTTTTTTTTGAAAATCTAATCATTTGAATTTTGTTTTTTGTTTTTGTTTTTGAACTTCTGCCACTCTAACCGTTTCTATTAGTAATCTACATTATATATACTATAGGTATATGAAAACTATACAGTGTGTGCTTGAAATCACCCTTTGACGCTGTATTACAATAATTTTATTTGACATGAACGTTATTTCATTTCTTTTTATTATTTTAGAATTCTTTTTTGAAATTCGTAATCATGACACAAGAATTTGTAATTTTTTTTTTTGTTTTTTTTTTTTTATTTACATAAAATTTTTATAATATTTAGAAAAATAAATAAGGTAATTGAAAAATAAAAGAAAATTTTGGTTGAAAGCATAATTTGAAAGCAAAAAAGTATATTGAAAAAAGGAAAGTATAAAAAAGAAAAAGAGAAAAATTAAGAAAAATTATTTAAAGAAAATTCTATAATTTGTAAGAAATGGGAAGCTTTAGTGTGTTATATTCGAGTATGTGTAAGTATATTTATGTTTAGAAGAAAAACGAAAAGATATAATTTGTTATTTTTTGTGTTTGAAAATATTAAGAAGCAAATTTTAAAAGTTTTAAAAGGCGTAAAACAAAAAGCTTGTAAATTAACAAAATTTTTCACAAATAATTTAATTTTCACTCATTACGTTCTTGGTTTACGAAATTACAATATTCATTTGTAATTTTTGTCAAGATTTCTCTATTAATCGTATATCTAATAATTTATTGAATCGATCATTAAAAAATCGATTAGTTTCAAAATTTCAAAGAACATTTAGAAAAATATTAAAAATTTTTCGCCTGAATAATTAATTTTCCTTAGTTTTCAAAATTAAAAGCAAATTAAATTTAATTTTAATAATATGATATTATTCTGATTGCTATTAAAATTTTTCCCATTACAAAATTTGATTTCCAATTGTAAATTTTTTATCAAAATAATTTTTGTCTAATTTATTAACAAATTTTTTAATTTGTGGCTTATTAGCATTGTAATTTAAATTTATTTAAATTTTAACTTATTATGAAAGTTAAGAATACAAACATTCTATCGTTTTTTGGAAGCTTATGTACTCGTATTAAAATATTGATGAAAATTCGTTCTTTTATTAAAAATGAATATTTCAAGTACAATTGTATTGAATCTCTAGTATCGTTTTTAATATACGATTTGTTTCTTTTTTACTTGTTAACTTTATTATTTCAATTGTTCTCTAATTATTTTGCAATAAATTTATTCATGAGCTTATCCTAGAAAATATTATTTATTTTGTGAAAAATTTTAATTTACCAATTTTTGCTCTTTGTTTTTTAAAATTCAATTTGTGTAGAAAAAAAAATTTTTGTAAAATATAAAAAAAAATTTTTAATAATTGCAAAGCAAAATTTGAATTTTTTTTTTTTTGATAAATCAAGCAATTTTTGTTTATAATTAATTTATAAATTATAAATATTTTAAATTTATTTTTTTTGGGCAAGCAATTTTACACACATAAAAGCAACACATATCTCAATATCGATAAAAATTCATTTTTGATTTTTTTTTCTTTTGGGATAAAGCAAATTTTTTTTGGAAAAAAAAATTGATAAAATTAAAGCGCTTTGTAATATAAAAAAATAGTATAAATTTTTTTTTTCGTTAAAGCACTGTTAATTTAAGTATATATATATAAAAAAAAATAATATAGAAAATTCTATTAAATTTTTTTTTTACTCAAAAAGGATAAAAAATGAATTAAATATTCAAAAAGAATAAATAAAAAAAATTAAATATAAAAATTATATTGGAAAAACATATAAAAAAATTAATTTGAAAAAATTAAAAATTTTAATTGATAAAAATAATAAATTAAATAATATTAATAAATTTAAAAAAAAAAAAAGAGAAATAAAAAAATGAAAAAAAAATAAATCTTACTTCTTTTTGCTTTTTCTTGCGACCATATTGCGGCTGGAAAATAATTTCAAAAAAGAAAGAAAAAAAGATACGGAAAGATCCATTATGTAAAAATGTTTGCAAGACGTTCATAGGTTTTTTTTTTCAAAAAAATTTTTTTTTCATATTTTTGATTTTGTAAATGGAAGAAAGTTAAAGAAAAAATGAAAAAATTATTAAAATAATAAATAATAATATTTTAGTTTTATATTATTCTTTAGTATATAATTGTTTTTTATAGTTTGTTATTTTTTTTTTTTTCAAAAATAAAATAGCAAAAAAAATGGTATATGGTAAAATATAGAAATAATTTGGTTTTAATATTTTCATTTTTTTCGAATTTTCCTTAATTATGAAAAATCAATTAAATTTTATAGTAAATTAAGTCAGAATTGGGCAATGCAAACTTTTCCATTTTGGAGTTGATTTCTTTTTCATTCATTTATAGGGGCTAGAGAGAGAGATAGAAAGCCAATTAAAATATAATTATAATTTTAATTAAATGAAAAAAAAGACCAATACCATAGAATAATAAAATATTTGAATTTTCATTACAATTACAAAAAAAAAAAATAATAAATTAGAAAAAATTAAGGATCCAAAAATTAAATTGGAATTTGCATCGAATTTATTCTGACTTTATATTTGATTTTTTTTTCTAATAGTTTTCAAATGAGAAAAGAAAATAAAATTAATGATTTTTTTTTTTTTTTTTTTGAAAAATTATGACAGAAAATGTTTAAATATATGGGAGGGGGAAAAATAATGAAGAAAAATAATATTTATTATATAAAATGTATGTATATAGATGAAATTTTAATTATTTTTAATTTATTAAAATTTTTTCAGTATATATATACGATTTAATCATATATATTATATAATATTAAACTTTAAGTTGTATGTTGCTTATTAAAAAGTTTACAAAATGATAACCTATAAAAATAATATTTTTTTAATGTATTAGTTTATATTTTATGTTATTTATTATTATGTATATATTATAATATAAAATTTCTATGTACTTAAAAAAAAAAAAATTAATTTTTTGTTTTTAAAAAAGCTTATATTATATAATTATAATGTATAGGCTGTTAAAATGAAAAAAATTTTGAATTAAACTTTTACCTTTATATTTGTATAGCTTAAATAAAATGGTTGCTTTTATAATAGAATCGAGTTAAAAAAATTAAATAAATTTAAAATATTATATTGGTATATTTTAAGTAGATCATATATCAATTTGAAATATTGTATTTAAAAGGGAATAATTTGAGTGGACGGCAGCAAAACTCAAATACAAATCCTTATGAATAATTGTAATATAAAATTATTGCAAAATCTCAAAAATTGTAAGAGAATTTGAGATTTTCTTCATGTTTTTTAAGAATTTTATAAATAAAATATAAATATTAGTATTATTATTGAATAACAATATTTTAAATTATTGCTGTTAACAATAAACATTTTTTTGAAATTATTTATTACTGTACTACATTTTACTAAAATTTTATAAAAGAAATTATTGGATTTATATTTAAGTTCAAATAAAAATTATTTGTAAAATTAAGTTTTCTTAAAGAAAATTATTTAATAAGAAATTTAATTGTGTGTAACTTATTGGTTACTTTAGAAAATCGAAATACAAATTGTTACTCATCCTGTTAAAAAAATGTTGTTTTTAAAATGTCACATACATTTTTTAAGTGTTATTTTCTTAAAAGGTAAAAGCATTCATAATTCTGTTTATTTATTTTTTTAAATATGTTTAAATTCTACTTTTATTCTACTTTTATGAAAATATTTTATGTATAATATTTAAATAACAAAAAATTATGTATATTTATGAAAGTTTATAAAACTCCTATACAAAAAAAAAAAAAAAACAAAAAAAAAAAGAATGAAATTTTATATTGAAATGAGATTTCTAATATGAAAATGTATATATATGTAAATTGTATTAATATATTGTTATAATATATTAGGTACTTGTGTAATAATATTTAGGAATAATACAAAAGTTTTCAATAAATTTCTTTTGAAAAAAAAAATTATTATATTATAATCGCCGCATTTTTCTTTTCTATTAAAAAAAATAATAATAATAAAATTTAAAATAAATTAATAGAGAATTAAATATAAATTAAATTAATATATAATAAAAAAATAAAACTAAAATTAAAAAAATAAATAATAAATATTGATTAAATAATAAAAAGTTTCTTTTTTTCCAACTTTTAATAGGATTTTTTCAAAACCTTGTATCTCCAAAATTAACAAAAAAAAAAATAAATAAATAAAAATAATAATAATAAAGGTAATAAACAATCAATTGAAGCCAAATATATTTAAATGTAAGGTATATAAAATATTATGTATATATATATAAATATAACTATAAATTTTTATATATTTAATATAATGTATCGAGAAAAACGTTTACTTATTTTAATAAAAAATTCTGATGAATGTTAATCTAACAATATTATTCTATGTTAATCATTGTCAAGTGAACACACAAAATGTCATAGGACGAAATATTGTGGCAACCATATAGGAAACGTATCTATTTTTAAGAAATGTATTGTTAGATAATGAGAAAAAATATTATACTCAATAATTTTTATTAATTTTTTTAATTATAATGTCAAAAATTTAAACTGTTATATTTTTGTTAGATTTTAAAATATTATATACAATTATGTTGTCAATCAAATATTTGGAATTTAATTAATAGTTAGGTGTAAAAAAAATTGGGAATTCTTATTATATAAGTAGTAACTCGTATACGAATAAAAATACTATTGTATTTATACTGTTTTTAATAATTTCTCTTTAATTTAAAAATTAGATCAGAAATTATTATATAATGGCCATTTTGGACCGTTCAATTTAATTTTAATTAGGTTTACTTACTTATTTATTATAAATTTTTTCATGGCACCCTTATAACTCTATAGGATTTTATACGGGCCCTAATATAAATTTTAATTTTTGTAATTAATATAATTACAAATAAAATATTTTGTATATTAATAAAAGTAATAAAATAACTTTCATTGAATTTGCTTATTAATTATAAAACATAAAAATGAAAAAATTCAAATTTTATATTTTTTTCTGATATTCTGAAGGTAGTTTTGCATTAATTAAATATGTGATATATATTTAATTTTTCCCAACAAATTACGAACTGCGGAAGTGGAATTTAAAGGACATATTTGCGAGTAAGATTTGTATGACCAATTCTTAAATAAGTTTTAAATGATTGGTGTATTCGTGAAATTAATTATTAGCTATAACCGAAGAACAGTTCAACATGTTTAAAGTAAGTAAATCGTTTCTCCTAAATTTAAGCAATATTTTTTATTATTGTAAAACTAAATAATATTGAATAGGTATTACAATATAAAATATTATTAAAATTTATTAAAATAGAAAAATAAAAGATACGAAAACATAAAAATTACATATTTAAGTTTTCATTGATTTCTTTTCATATTTAATATTTAAATTTAAATTACTTATCTTTGAAAGACATCAAATATTTAATTATATTATACGTTTACATTAAATAAATATAAATGGTATATAAGTAAGTAGTATAGGTTTTCACAAATTTACAGGATTTACTTTACACAACACACACACATCATGTAGAATAAAATAAGTGTTTTTTTTTTTATATAAAAAAATTAATTTGTTTTAAGTATAGTTTTATAATAAAACGTTTAATAATAAAAATTGGTAAAAAAAAAATTTAAAAATTATATATATATATATATGTATATATACACGGAAAAGGAAACATAAAATAAAACGAAAACAAAAACGAAAAAGATCAATGAAAATTTATTCTTTTCATAATAATTTAAACATACATATATAGATAAATATAAAACGTATATTATATTATTTTTGAGGCAAGAATAGGTACAATATTCACCTACATTATTATAAAATATATGTATATATATAAAAATTAACTATATATATATGTATATATAGATAAGAAACAAATGTTTACTTTAAATAGAATTTTGGTTAAAATTAAAAATTTTGAAATTGTATTCGAAATTAAAATTCTTTATTGTATTTATTAAAAAAATAATATAATAAAAAAAAATTTGTGTATATTTTTTATTAAAATTTTTATAAAAAAAATTGTATATTAAATTTAAAAATATATAAGCTTAAACATAAATTAAATAAAATTGTCAAATATGTGAATTAAATAAAATAAATGGTAATAGCGAATTAAATTAAATAAAATTAAATTTGATAATATTAATTATGTTAAGTAAACATTTGTTATTAATTTTTATTAATATTTTATTTTTATTAATTTTTAATCAATTTACATTTATACATAAATTTTCACAATGCTACCAATTAAATACCAACGAGAAAATACAGTGTTCAAAAAATAATATAAAAGAAAATATAAATTATTTTTTTATTGTTAAACTAAAATATTAACTTTTAAATTTTAATATTGTAAAATATAATATATATTTAAATTAATTTAAAATATATTTTTTTTTAACAATTAACGGGTTAATTTACAATTAAAAATAAAATCAAAAGAAAAAAACATATATATATAAATCTATATATATATATATATATATTTGTAGCAAAATAATAATAAATAAATAAAATACTAAATTAAAATAACAGAAAATCATCTTAAGTATATGTAGAAAATATGGTATTTTAATATAATATTAACTCCATTTTAAAATTTTATTGAATTCGCTCAAATATGGAATTCAGTGAAATTTAAGTAATGAGAAAAACATTTTAATATAGGGTTGTTAAAATTTTATTATGTAATTTTACAGGGATTGATGCAAAATAATTTTGAAATCTATTATAAAAAATATTAATAATTTTTTTAAGCATTGTCATAATAAAACTATTTTAAACGGAAATACTAATTTTTATAATTTTTAAATTTTGTCAAAAAAAATCATTATAATTCACAATGCCCTCATAATATAGTTACTAAAAATAGAATCGAAATTTCAATTAGTTTAATTGGAGCATAAAATTCTAAATTGAAATCGATAATATGACTTTATAATTGTTATTACTTCCATATGTAACACTGAATATATTTTTATTCAAACTAACAAAAAAAACAAAAACCAAAAATATTAATTTGTCATCATTAATTATATAGAATAAAAAAAAATTACGTATATATGAGTTCACATACTTATATACTTAATAATTTTTTATTGTTTTAATTTTTCTCAACTTCAATGTTATAAATAAAAAAAAAATTAAAATAAAAAGTAGTTGTAATGGTCTGACGCACACAATATATTGCGTAGGTTGCATGGTGGTAAGGTGCTATAGTTTAAAAAAAAATTTTCCTAATGATACAAGCAACAGAATAGGTTATAAAAGTATATTCCTTTTTCTCAAAAAAAAAAAAGGAAAAGAAAATTTTATATTAAAAAATTTAACTCTTCAGAAAGATTGGCGCCTTTTGATCGTCGCCAAATTCCAATTCCGTATTATACAATAAAATTTATAGTTACAATTTTGAATTTTCTTATTATGTTATAAATTATATATTCGTATAAATATATATACGTACAATTTTATAATTTGTTCTAAATATAGATTAATTTATAATAAGTTACGTCATAATTTAATTAATTATATTATGTACTGCATTTTGATTTAAAATAAAACAGAAATTGTTTATGCAGCAGATTTTTTTTTTAAATAATATATACGAAGTTTGTATTCGAATTACAGTATTGAATGTATACTTTAAATTTTTAAAATTATTTTATTAATAATCTCAAAGTCAAAGAAATAAATTGTTTTCATTTCAAACAACAGAATTAGAAATTCGAATTTGTATTAGAATTTCTGTTTAATATTGTAACAAACATTTTCTCAAATATTATTGATAAATTTTATTAACTGAAATTTAAGGTTTACGTATGACGATAAAATTCATTAGGGAAATTATTAATTATTCTTGTGAACTCATGAAATTTTGGGAGAGCAATTGAAAAGTAAAATTTCTAAGGAATAAGTAAATTGAAATAATTCTATTCTCAATATTTTAATTGAATTTAAAGGGGAATTCATGAATATGTATAGTCAGTCATATATTATCAAAACTTAGCGAACTATAATTTGTTGAACATTAAAAGAAAGTCTTATAATAATTGTTTAACTACAAAATTGACTACGGAATGCTAATTTTTCTATTAAAGCAAAATTTGAGAGAATTATAGTTAAAAAATGTTTCTCTTTTATTAACTTCCACATTGCTGTCTCAAATACAAATACTACATCTTAATCCTAAACTTAAATAGAGTTAAATTAGAAACAATCATTTAAACACCATATAAACATATCTACATATACATACATATATTTCACGTATACATACGTGGAATATATTTTTATAAGAAATTAAAAAATAAACAAAAAAAAACTAATTTTCCTTTCTGGCTAAATATACCTATATTTTAATTATTTTTAGCTGTTTTCTAAAATAGCTAATTTTTTAGCTAATAAAACTTTGTGTAGGGGATTCACAATTAATACACGATACATATTTAAATAATAAATATACATAATAATGTAGAGAAACAGTGTAAATATATATGTATATTTTTAAATTAATTTTAATTTAGTTTTTATTAAACTTAAAAAACAAAAGTAATACAAGGAAAATACGGGGAAAATAATTAAGAAAAACAAAAAAAACAATTAAGAAAAAATAAATAAATAAATAAAACAAAAAAATGCTATCATTTTTTATTTAGTGAAATTTTTTACACAAACACCTATACAAAAATTTTAACGTTAATAAATATGTATATATATATATATATGTTAATAAATGTATATATATATATATATATAAATATATATATATAGAAAATGATGTTAAAAAAATTGAAAGAAAAAAAAAAGGACATTATTGTCTTTTAAGTAGAGGAATATTAAGTATACTATGTTTTTTTTTCTTTTTTTTTTTTGTATTATTTAAGGAATTAACTATATAACATTTCAACTTGACATAAACTGTGGTCACTGACACAAAAATTATTTTTGGAATTACAAACGAATTATATACGTTCTTCTATCAAATAATTAAATATTTTCAAGTTATATGCTATTTTAAAAGAAGAATTTTTTTAATAGTTTTATAAGAATTTTCTATTCAACTAAAAAGGCTCTTTACTTTAAAGTGATTGTATTAAAATATTAAGAGGATTCTACCAACAAATTTGTATTAACATTTATTTTTACAATAGAAATTATGAATATGATGGAGCTTATATCAATCTATATTATTATTTCACATCAAAGTTCTATTTTCAATTTTTATATAATTTTCAATAAAATTATTAAAATTCAGATTTTTAATCAAAATAAAAAAGTTCTCCAAATTCTCAATTTTCAAAATAAATAATAATTGATAATTACAGCACTTAAAAAGAATAAAAATCAAAAATTGTGAAAATTTTTTGATTTTTTACATTTTATTAGGACCCTTAAAATCTTCACATAGAAATGGACCTTTTAACCTTTGAGGACTTAAATTAAAGCTTATTAAGTAAAACTCTATAAAAAAATTTTAAAATTTCATAAAATTTCGTACGAAATTATCGGTAAGAGAAAACTAAGAAATTAAAAATAGGGGAAAATATGATTTTTTCTTAAAGTTCGAATGCTTCGTATTCCGAAAGCACATAAAATACAAAATCAAGAAATATACTGATTTTAAGCCCTTTACTATGCTTTTCTAAAATTGTTTTTTAAGTCAGTATCTTTTTCAGAGCCGGAGTTATAAGAAAAAAAAACTTGAACAAATAGAAATTTCGTGAAAATTCATTAAAAATTTGGAAACTCTTGAGATTTGGTACCTAGTATGCAAAACAAAAGTTTTACTCATTTTCGATTCTCTAATGGTATATGTTGTTATCTAATTTCCTGAATCACCCTATATATCAAAAAGTTCCGTCAAAAATAATATATATAGAAGGGGAATCTAAATTTTCATATACAAACTGGTTTTATAAGAAATTTCGGGAATCACTTTCTAAAAGTGAGTTCACTTTTTTAAACCTAATAGAAATTAAAAAGGAAAATCTGATTACATTTATTAGACCAGAAATTTGTATGGTATTTGTATGGTATTATTTGTTATATAATTCTATATAATTGCTAGATTTGCATTTGATCTTGAATTAATTCATAATGTAGATACATAGTTTATGTCGAGTTGAAATTCGGAGGTAATAGTAAAACTTTTTAAAATAAGAAATATTCAAGATAATTTTTTTGTGTGCTTTTTTTTTTGATTGAAAAAAATTTACGATATTTTTAATATATTTAAAAAATATGTAAATGAATAAAAATTACAAGTTATACTTTATTTTATAAAAAATATGTGTATGTATTCGTATATATATATATATATTTATTTTTTTTTTAAATATTTATTGAATTATAATTATTTTTCTTTTTATATTTTTATACATTTAGAATACATTAATATAATATAAATATAATGGTTAAATGAGGATTTTTTTTTGTACTGAACGGTGAATTAATAAGGGTTATTAAAAAAAACAGATTTTTTTTTTAAATATTTTTGATGGATTTAAAAAAAAAAAGAATAGAAAAAGAAAATTTGATTTGACACAAATATTTATAATAAAATATTATGTTTTTTGAGTGAGAAATATGAGAAAATATAATATATAAAATATATATATATAGATGTATTTAAATAACAAAAACGTTTATATTAAAAAAAATGTCAATGGTTTTCAATATTAAATAATAAAAAAAAAGATAAAAAATATCGAAATTAAAAAATACATAAAAAATTTTGGTATAAATTTTTTTTTTTATAAATAAAATAAATTTTTACACATTTATATATATATTTGTTAAAAAAAGAAAAAATAAAAACATAAAAAATAAATTACATCAATGAATTATTTTCGTAAATGATTTTCATTTTTGAGTAGCTTAGAATTAAAAAATCTCAATTTCAATTCAATCACACAGTAGTTAGCTACACAGTATTTGCTACACAGTTAACTACTGTGTAGTGTTGGATTTGTAACATTGCACTGTATGCACTTACAGTGGATATGGTATCATATGCGTATGGTAATTAATGAATAATATTTAATTATTAGAAAATTATTAAATAATTGCGTTCATAAGAGCGAAACGCATTTCACCGCGCTTTGTTTAAAAAAAAAATTTAATATTTTTTTATTTTTAATTCCAAGTCACTCATTTGAATATAAAATTATATTTTATATGTAAGTATATGTATTTATTATTAAAAGCAACAAATTATTGATGATGAAAAAAAGAAATTCTTTTTTATCTTGTTGTTTTTGTTTCTTTTTTTTTTAATGAATTTTTGTTGTCATTGTTACTTTTTTTTTTTTAATTATATTGCATTTTTATTTACAATTTTTGTTTTGATAGTTTTTTTTATATTGTACGTTTAAAATTAAAATACAAAACATTGCATTAGAATATTGAAGAAAAAAAAATTATAATATTATATATATATATATATAATAATATAAAGATTAGAACTTGTATATAGAAAATATAAAAATATTAAATAAATAAATTGAAAATTTACCACCTCTCCCTCGGCTCTCTTCCTTTCCAGCTCTTTTTGTTTGGCATGTTCAACGGCAATACGGGCTTCTATAGCCACCAATGATTCACGGGTAAAGGGACGGAACAAACTGCGTTCTTCCTCAGATATCGAGTCGGAGTCTTCTGTCATTGTCTATACGGCCAACGATGAGAGCCTCAGATTTCCAAGGCCTAAAAATATTATATTGGAAAAAAAAAAATTTAAAAAAATAATTAAAATATAGAAATATTTTAGAATGAATTGATCAAATTGAAAAAAAAAAATTACTCATTTAGTATTTTCTACGACACTTATGGATGTAGGTGAAGATATTAGATAGATTTAAAAATCTGGCGATTCATTGTTTTATGAATTAGAAAGATTATTGACTGGAATTGCCACACAATATTTGGTTTTATTTAATAACTGGCATCAAGTAAAAAATATTACTGTATAAAGTAGAAATTCATGAATTATTATAAATAAAAGTAACTTTTTCGTATTTTGAATGTCTATATCGCAAATATCTATTTGTTTCTTAACATTTAAAGTGTATCGCAATTTTTTGATTTATAAATGAATGAAAATCAAGAAAATAAAGGAAAAATTTTAAAATACTACAATTATGTAAGACAGAAGAATTATGTGATTGAAACATTTAAGTTTTAGAACAAAAATTTTAGCAATAGGATGCAGTTAAAAAATAAAATATAATTTTGTTCAAAGGAACATATTAGTAATTTACTAATACTTAGTCTTAACAATAATAGTGAAAGTTTTGTAGTAATTTTGAATGTAATTTTGAAAGTTTTATATTTATGGAGTATATTTTGTTACATTTTACGTACAGATAAAAATTAATCAATGCTTAAAATATAAAATATATATTTTTTAAATTTTACTTCTAAGAATACATTTGCCAAAAAAATTTAATATATGACCTTTTCAAAAAATATCCATTTACATCTATAAAGGAAACAAATCGTTACAATATCTAACTAGAAACATTATACCGCATTTATATTATATGATCAGTCTAATTTTTAAAATTCACGCACTTTACATTTTTGTATAGAAAATATCTAAATGTATATATGTATATATATATATATATATACACTATAAGAATTTATATATATACACACTATAAGAATTTTTACTTTTGTATATGTATTTTTTCTAATAATAATTTTTTTGGTTAAATTCTATATCATTTTTCTTGATTCTTAAGTATATGTAAACAAAATAGAGTATTTAACCTTATACTTATTATATTGATTATGCATGTATATGTATGTAATTTTATGAAAGTGAAGTTAAAATGAAAGTAAAAGATATTTTGTATATTTGTATGTGTATATAACAGAAAAATAACTTACATGAGGCACATGGATGTCGCCTTCTACGCTATAGTTACAACTATATCCGAGGCGCCATTTTCGTGAGGCGCCCGCCGGCTATCACGAATTCTGTAAATAAAAAAAAAGAAAATGAAATAATTATTATTATATAGAGCAAAAAAAAAAGACGTATAAAAGACATATATGTATATATAGTAAATATATTATAACAATTTAATATTCTTCAAAAATCATCATAAATATTATATATGTAAAATAATTGTTATTTGATATTTTTTTTTTTTGAATAAATTTTCTTTTTTATGATTTAAAATCAAACTAATGGGTATACCTTTTACTAAAAATATTTATTTTGCAAAATATAGTTCAAAGTAATGAGGAAATAGATATAAAATATTAATATTAGGGGTCAAAATAATAATGTCCTTAATTATAGTATGTTCACTATTACCGTACGAATATAAAACGCTGTTAGTAGTGCTAGCACTATTTGCATTCAATATTTGCAAAATTAATGCACGTCTAAATGGAATTACTTCATAAGTAGAACAGTTTTCCCGATTGGTAATTTTTTTGTGTACAGGAGCAAAAATTATTCAAAATAGGCTTAATTATATAAATATTGAATTAAAATCTTAAAGAAAACACAACTCAATTTTTTCAGTAATGAAACAATTCCAATTACTTAATTTTCATAAATTTTATTACCAAAATAATTTCAGAAAAACAATATTAAGTAAAACAGGAAGTTTTTAAAATCATAAAGCACTGAAAATTTTATAAAGTTCAATATTATTAAAATTATTAATTTGGGATCGAGAGAACAATATGTTAGAATAAGCTTCCTTAATATTAGTTCCAGACAATTGTTAGTGAAAACCTTCAAAGATACTTTTTTTTTTAATTATTTTGTACAAATTTTTTAAATTTTGATGCACGAATAATTTATTGATTTTATTATAATCACAAAACATAAATTTCATGTCTTTATTATTTCCTTAAAGACAATAAAAACAATTCGTTAATTTTATAGTTAAAAATAATGTTGAATAATCGATAGGCGTAGTCAATATCAACCTTTACATATTACGTATATATACATACTTAAATTATAAATATATACTTAATTAAAAGGTTAAGTATAGACTAATATATTGGATGAGGAATTAAATAAGCTTGAAAGAATAATAAATATTATTATTTCTGGAAAATTTTGAAAAATTAAACGTAAAAACTTGAACATGAAACTCAAAATTGAAAGTCAAATGAATATATTTCGTGATATACATATTTTAATAATTACAAAATACTTATTTTATAAAATATTTTTGTCAAAAATAAGAGGAAATAACAAGAGAACAAAATATTAGCCTTATAAAATATTTAAAAGTATGTAGACATTTATTATGCCATGCAATAGAAATTTTGAATTCGACGACTTAAGTTATAGGTTCGACCAATTTGTAATTGAAATCTTGGATATTACAAGTATTTCAGGTAAATTTGAAAGGTTTTACGGCAGCACAATTCCTTAAATATTTTTATATAGAAACCTTTTATTATAAGGGTATAGTTACAATAACTTTAATATAAAATTTATTTTATATAACAATTTTTTTTTTCTTAATAAATAATAGAGTCACAATTTACTCTTTTACGTGTGATAATCTATAATATGAAATCTATAATTGACTTCGATTTGATTGACAAGTTTTACGGATCTATAAGTATATGTTCAAAGATTGTAATTGTCGTTCTACAAATTACTATAAGTTAAGATCCAAACTGCAATTTATATTATTTTACAATTCTTTCGTTGAAGAATTGTGAATCATTCTCAATTGGTGTAGTTTTCGTTTATTATTTGTGAAATTTTCTATATTTACTAGAATAAAATCTTTTAGTAATAAATTCTCTCTTTCCGAAACCCGAAAAATTTTTAATATCGTAATAATAAACCAAATAAACAATAATTCATCGTTTTAAAATCAAGAAAATTCCATGAATCCTACTTGTTTGAACCTAGTTTTTGCCTACCGCTGCCTTGAACCTATTTTTTTATTTTTAACACAGTTAAATTCATTATTTATAATTATAGGAACTCATATTACTGTTATAGGATTTTCAATTTTGTAATAATATTATTATGGTGTGTTTTGTAAAAACAAATTTCATTCCAACTCATTTCCATTCCTCAAAATGAGGAAAATTTGAACTTTCAATAACTTATGTCCCCAAAATTGTAAGCTTTTCAAATTTCTACATAAACAAAAGAGTGACGGTAAAATGTCAATATTATGTATTTACTTATCCTACATGTATGCAAAACAAAAACTTGTTATGTGTATATGTAGTGTTAAAAAAAATAATGTAAAAAAAGATATTATTTTAAATTACTCAGAAAGGCATTTTCAATAACTGAAATACTGTTTCAATGAAATGTGCTACTCACCAAACCGTTACCAATTAACAGTTTGATACAAATTTACCATTGATTTCCTTCAATAAATTATTCATATATCAAAATAATTAGAATAGCTTACAAACTTCTTTTTTCTAAATGTTTTTCACATACCATCTACACCTACAATAATATAGATATATAGAGATATCTAATACCTATACCTTTACTTGCGCACAATATTGTATACATAATATAATTTATGATTCTATTAAATATATTAATATATATATATATATGCGTATATGTATTTATAGTGGTATATATATGAAAGGTAAAATATACATTTTGTATAGATAAACAATTTATTAACAGCTGACAATTCACTTTCAATTTGACAAGGATATTTCTTTTCAAAACATAAAATAATAAAGAAAAGCAAAAAACAAAATTTAATAAAATTATTTAAAAAAAAAATGGTAAAATAAACTTTTTTCTATACAAAATTCAAAGAAATACAGTTAAATTTGGAATACAAAAAAAAAGTTAAATAAAGAAAAACATTTAGTATGGTAGCCACAATTTAATTTATAGTGTTAAATATTTAAAGATGACAAAATTTATTTATTTATTATGTATGTATATACCAAGCTTATATACACATAAATTGTATATTTTCCCATATATAATATATTAAGCTATACAGTCTTTTCTGGATATGTACATAGATAAATTCAACAAAAAGCTTTCTTTAACATTTCTTTCTTATGTGATCGCATTTTTTATACCAATATAAATATAACATGTTTGTGTGTGTATTGAAAAGAATTTAGTGAACACAAGAGTATACGCATTATTCTTATATAATACAAACACAAAACTTATTAAAATGAAATCTACTTTAAACATAAAATCAAGTTTTTCATTGTGTACATTTCGACAAATATGAATATATATTATATATATATATATATTATAAATACACACATACATATGTATAAAGGTGTATATTTTTAATATCCTTTATTAGAATTTTAGAAAAAAAAGAAATACTTCATTTTTTAAGTAAAAAATAAAAAAAAAATTTTTTTTGACTTTTATGAAAAGAAATTGATAAATTTATTGTAATCAATTTAATTTGTCAAATTCTATATTATGTTTGTATAACCTAAAATACACATACATAATACATAAATACATATACATAATTATAATATAAATTGAAATTTATATATTTATGTAGGTTCTTGTTTCATATTAATATTTAAGTGTATTTGTATATTTTTTTCACAATCTTATGTTCTGACTATCTGTTGATAAAAGAAGAAAAAAACAACAACAACAAAACGAATATTAATCTAACAAAATGATTTAATATTGAATTTTTTGTCCTTTGAGCATGAGTTATGTATTTTGTTTTTCTTTAGTTATATTTAAAAGATAAAAATCGAGAAATTTTCTTTAGAGTTCTCAGAATTTTTAACATCATACTTAAATTAACTTATACCATATATATGTATTATACATAGCAGCCACTTGATTTACTATTTCCTATCCTTTATAAGAATTTCCTACATGATTCATTATTTTTCTTATAAACAATAATTCATAAGTTTTTGTTAACATAATTTTAATAACACAATGTATGTATTAAAAAAAAAGATTTTTATTTTATTATCAAAAATTATGAATATTAGGTCATCCAATATTATAATTTTCCGGGGGCTTCATTTTATATATGTAGTTAATGACTATTTCAGAAATATTTTTAAAATAAAAAAAAAATCTTAGAAATTTCAGAAAAGAAAAAGTTATTAAAAAAAAATCAACTGATTCTCTCTAAGATTTCTTAGAATTTCAGTATTTTTCATTGCGTATTTTTTATTATAATGATAATTGGATTGCTAGGATTAATTCTAGCAAAAATTGTGTAATGTTACACGTATAAAATGCTATATACGAGTATGTAAATGTTTTAGTGTAAAAAGTCGCAAAAAACAAGCCGCGGACTTAAATTAATTATAATATACGAGTTGTATATGATAAGAATAAAATTACTTTTGTTAAAAACATTAATATGCCAATTTTAACAATGCTGTTTATTAAAATAATTAATTTTAAATCTAATACATGAAGAAGTTGAAAGCAAACTCATGAAAGTGCTAAAAATCCCAATTGATTTTATTTGATTTTTATTACTTTAATCTAAAAAATTTTTGTGAATCATAATAAAATTACAGAATGATTTTAGAGAACAGTTCACAAAAGAGTTCTCTCGATTTATTGTCTCTTGCTCGGTATTGTCTTCGAGAATAGTAGTTCATTATTATATTTACAAAATCCGTTTATACATATATAGGGTTTCTCGCAACAAAGTGCACTGTTATAATATACCATTGTTTAGGCCTTCATTAGTAGAGAAATCTTTTGTATAGAGACGATTTTCACAGCTCAACTCGTTCGGAATTACAGCAGCTTAAAGTAAATTTCGACTGATTTTTTTACTTTTTGTAATTTTAAGTATAACTCCGGACTGTTTAAGACAGGCGCATTAATAAATATGATTTGGAAACCTCAGAGTAACTGCTTTCTTACAAATATTTATATTAGTTATATTTGTAAGAAAGTCTGTTCAGATTTAGAAATCTTTTTATTTAGTTTATTTTGTAAGAAACTAAATCTGTTCAGATTTTGGAATCACATGACT